CTTAAACATGATAATGTCGTGGAGCTACTTGGATATTGTGTGGACAGTGGTTTGAGAGTACCTGCCTATGAGTACGCTGCAAATGGATCTCTTCATGGCAAGTGTTTTATCCTTAAAGTCTTTTTAGCAGTTCATTTTTGGGACCTATTTTTAAGTTATATTGTATTAGATTTGCCAATGGAACTTTTGTCTTTGCATCAAGAAATTAGTTGTGAATGGAAACTTCAAAACTACATAATAAAAACCTTTATGCATAGATGATAACTATTCCTAACAAGCAATCCAATGGAACCTTTGTCTTTGCATCAAGAAGCAATCCTCAAAACACTAGCGGTTACGGTTCATTCAATTTGTTTTCTCAACAATGGTGATTCCATTTTCTCTTAGTTTTGTTTGATTCTCTTTCTTTCTTCAACTGTATTTTTTATGTTTCATTTATTGTCGTCTATCTTATGCTACTCACATGATTGGGGTTTATTTGATTTTATACTGGTCTTGCACATTTGTCTGATTCTGTATAATGGATTTTTGTTTCTTCCTCCATTTATCCAGTGGCCTGTATGCTTTTAACTTGCATCCTCCTGTTCTGTATGTAATGATGTATATATTGCAGGAAGAGCATGTCTGTAACATATTTAGGTTTGAAAGTTTGGCACATGTTGTTTCTCTTGACTTGGTTATACTTTAAATGTATTATAATATTATATTGTTGGTGAAGGCAATATTAAGGATCGCTGACCAATTATCTGTTATGTTTGCTGACAGGTTCATCTGGATCAAATCAATGAGGAGACAGGTCCTAAAACTGGTCGGTTTTTTGTTTCATCTTCTCTCATCCCATCTGATAGTTTTTAAGCAATCGTGATATGTTAACCATGGATATAGTTAGGAAATGCTTAATGTGTGCCACTACAGATACATTTCTTTACAATACTACCAACATGGCAGTAATATTAATTTAGAATGCACCTTTGGTTTCATCATAGCCCTTTCTTCTCAAACAAAAACCATGCATTCCTTTTCAGAATGTACCTATATAATTGATATTTGATATGCCCTTTCTCATTGGAACGAATCTAAACAAATAAGGTGTTATAATCTGTAAACTTATCTCTTCTTATTGAACTTTGGCTCTGCCTTCTATACCTTGATATATTTTTGTCCATTCTTATGAATAATGTGACAAAACAGTGCTTGGGCTGTGGCCATGGTTCAACACATTCCTTGTAAAATTTAGTACATGAATTTTGGTCTGTTCGTTCAATACATTTCTAGAGAACATTTAATTTGTGTTGTGAAAGATTATATAAAAGCTGATTTATGTCATGTGACAATGGGATAAGTGAAGCAAAAGTCAACATGAACTTCAAGCATTATTCCCAGCATCCCTCTAAAAATGATCATGATAGCAGCTGTTATATGTTGGACAAAACAGTGATGGAATGTGCCTGCTGCCTGTTGTTGAAACTATGTACTATAAACAAAGAACAAATCACCAATATAACATTGTTCTAAGCTACTACCTGTCTAAATTAATTAACAAATGCAGATGTAACAGCTACCATGAACTTTCCTCATCCAGCGGAATAGGTTGATTAAAGAAGATGACCAGGAGGTTGGTGTTGACTCTGATCAACTTCTGTTCAAGTGTGCTAAGATCCAAAGT